GCCTCTTTCATATACAATGGTTCGCAGTATTTAGCAACACAAAAATAAAATAAAATCCATGGGGACAGTTGTGTGGTGGCTAGTAACGGTGCTTGTGGTGGCGGTTCACTCGGCGTCTGCCGCGGTAATAGAAGAAAAGTGGGAGGTTGAGTATACGTTTTGGTGGCCGGATTGTAAAGAAGGCATTGTCATGGCCATCAACGGCCAGTTTCCGGGGCCGACGATAGACGCCGTCGCCGGAGACAGAGTGATCATCCACGTCACCAACAAACTCTTCACCGAAGGTGTAGTCATCCATTGGCACGGCATACGTCAGGTTGTTTAATTTTACTTGTAAATCCGTTTTTCGCGGTTTTTAGTTTATTTTTCATTTAGTTCATATCCACAATTTGTTATATATTCTGCAATTTTAACTAATCAGAACCATCTAGTTTGTATCATACATTTTGTATAATTAAAGTATAAAAATGGGATTAACAACAAAAAAATGATTTGTGATGATGAAACAGATTGGGACACCATGGGCAGATGGAGCAGCCGGTGTGACACAATGTGCCATTAACCCTGGCGAGACTTTCACTTACAATTTCACTGTCGATAAAGTAACTTTTCCCCTCTGTCAAGTAAATAAACTTGGACGTTTTGGGTTTCTAATGAAAGGGTGCAGGCAGGGACACATTTCTACCATGGACACTATGGGATGCAAAGATCGGCAGGACTGTATGGAATGTTGATAGTGAGATCGCCCAAAGAAAAGTTACGTTACGACGGAGAGTTCAATATGTTGCTAACTGACTGGTGGCACCAAAGCGTTCATTCACAAGAACTCGCTCTTTCGTCTCGCCCTATGCGTTGGATCGGCGAACCTCAGAGTCTACTGATTAACGGAAGAGGACAACACAATTGTTCGCAAGCCGCGTATTTCACCAAAGGAGGTGTGAGAGAGTGCACGTTTAAAGAAAAAGATCAGTGCGCACCACAAACTCTACGGGTCGAGCCTAATAGAGTTTACCGTCTTCGTATCGCTAGCTCCACTGCTCTTGCTTCCCTTAATCTAGCCGTCGAAGTAAGTTACTATTTCTTCCGTTTCATAATAAATTCCGCTCAAAAACTATAGAGTAAACAACTTTGGATTTGGATTGCTTTTTTCCTTCACTTTTTTACAATAACAAATCTGGAAAGTATTTTTAATATCATCAAATATTTCTTTCCATCACATTTGCATCTAAAGATTTAATTTGTTAAGAAATTATCATATGTAAACCTTCAAATGAGGGTCACAACTCACTCGTGTGGTTGATCGCGGCCGTGCAGGGACACCAGCTAGAGGTTGTTGAAGCAGACGGCAACTACGTCGCACCGTTCACCGTCAACGACATCGACATTTATTCCGGCGAAACATACTCCGTTCTTCTTAGAACCCACTCATTCCCTTCCAAAATATACTGGATCTCCGTCGGCGTTCGTGGCCGGAAACCCAACACTCCACCGGCACTCACCGTGCTAAATTACGTCGATGCCCCTGACTCCGACCGCCCAACTCATCCACCGCCGGTAACTCCAAGGTGGGACGACTATGATCGGAGCAAAGCATTCTCCAAAAAAATCTTCACCGCGAAAGGATATCCACCGCCGCCGGAGAAATCACACGACCAGCTAATCCTCCTCAACACTCAGAATCTGATCGACAATTACACAAAATGGGCAATCAACAACGTCTCTTTATCCGTACCGGCGACTCCGTACCTCGGATCAATCAAATACGGAATCAAATCGGCGTACGATCTGAAATCGCCTGGAAAAACGTTCACGAACGATTACGACATCATGAAACCTCCGGCGAATCCAAACACCAAAAAAGGTAGCGGGATCTACAATTTCCCGTCGGGAATCGTCGTCGACGTGATTCTCCAGAACGCGAACGTGTTAAAGGGGAAAATCAGCGAGATCCATCCGTGGCATCTTCACGGTCACGATTTCTGGGTTTTGGGTTACGGCGAAGGGAAATTCCGGCGAGGAATCGACGAGAAGACGTATAATCTGAAGAATCCGCCGTTACGGAACACGGTGGTTGTGTATCCGTTCGGATGGACGGCGTTAAGATTCGTAACGGATAATCCTGGGGTTTGGTTTTTTCATTGTCACATCGAACCGCATTTGCATATGGGTATGGGTGTGGTTTTCGCTGAGGGAGTTAACCGGATTGGTAAGATGGATATACCGGACGAGGCGCTCGGTTGTGGTTTAACTAGGAAATGGCTTATGAACCGGGGACGCCGTTAAAAATATACCGGTGTTGATTGTTTATAATTATTGTAATGTGTTAGGCCGTTGAAATTAGTGTATCAAAGTTAGTTTTATGTCGAAAAGTTAGTATTATGTATTTTTTTAGTATGTTTGGACAATAATATAATATCAATCAACAGAGTTCGAATATCCGATTTCAACACCAGTTGAACGATATCAAGTCATGGAAATCAAGCTTTCTCTCAGTAAAGTTCTTACATACCTATCGGGAATCAAACAATGTTTCTGATAATTTGTTCCAAAATGCTTATGCTTTAATATATAGAGGGTTTATCAACTCAATTGGAGACATTAATCAGTCTCTAAGAGACCAAATGTTCATAAGATCAAACAAAATCTTTTTTCTGTCTGTATTTTCTTGTGGTGAACATACAAAAAATCACAATTTATTCATTCTAAGCGATATCTTCACAAATAATATACATTTTTATGGGACATACAAACTTTCCAACCAATTAAGATTATTATAGGTCGTCAAAAGGATATTAACTAAAAATAAAAGAACATTATCAAAGATGCAACAATACATACAGAGTGTCTTTAAAATAGACTAAAGTATGAATCATTGCGGTGTCCTAAACGTGGAATCGAGCCATCCAGATTCGAGATACATGCTAATAATATCCATCCCTTCCCAGATCATCAAGGGAAAAGGTTTTTTTTTTTGAAACATTAATCTAGAAAAAATCGCTTCTGGTGCATTGGTAATGTTCCGACAGTACGTTCATCAGTTACTAAATTCGAATCTTGGCTATTACATTTGACGTAGACC